AAGTAACAAAAGAGGCTTGGTTGAACTTTTACGGGAACCTGCAAGTAATTTTGTTTGTAAGGATTTTTGAAGTTTCGAAATCCAATATATATAAGGTAGTTCAAATTCATTTTGGCTCTGTGGAATATTAAAAGTATTCAAAACTGACAGGTGATTTTGAAAAATTATTGAAAGAGTAGTATATGTATAAGTAGGATTACCACTTTAAAATCAAATCCAAGTTCTTCTAAAATGCAATTTATATAATGAGCCTTACAAACGAAGACAATGTTGTTACCTGCTTTGTCGGCAGGAACCAGTACGTACTGATCGTGTAATCTATCTAATTCTTTTTTTACTTCTGGTTTATTGAACACAGAAGGATAGATGGTTTTCAATTTGCCCCTCAAATCTTTTAATACGTGACTTTAACATGGATCTGATACATTTAATCCATTCTGACAAAGTGTCAATGTCTTCTTTTTCATATCTTGCCCATCGTCTGGCGTAATTTTCAACAGAATCCATAATATTTATGAAATTCCGACGCCAGTTGAAGGATCGGGGTTCCCTATATTTAGGACCTTTTAAAATAAGTGATCTAAGGTCCTCATTAAGAACTATATTTACGTCACCTGTAATAACGTGTCCAGCAGGACTATAGTTATAGGGCGAAGAAGAACATGAACACGAAAGAGGATTATTTTTCAGATAGTCGATATATAGGCCATGTAAAGTATTTTTGTAATTGAAAAGTTTGGAAGCAATGGTCGATGTATATTTGTAGGAAATACAAGGCGTATATATTGTTTTTATTATACACCGTCCGGACTAGTGTCAACTATTTTAAAACATATTTAATACTTTGATATGTATATTTTGCATTATTGTTGCCCTCATAAGACTTGGACATTAACCAAGTAAGGGCCTAAGGAGATCACTCTGGTCCCCCACGTTACAAAATGATTGAGAATCAGCATCACGAGGATGATCTGTGGGGAAACGGATTATCTGTAAAACTGTTCAAAACTTTGAAAAGTTAGTAAGGTAATGATGAGAGTAAGGCACTTCAAAGTTTTTTGATTTTGTTAAAGCACAGCTTCACCCCCCACCCCCCAACCCCCCACCCCAAGAAAAAAACAACAACAACAATATAACATAAAAAAATAACACTGAAAGACAAATTTTTATCAATTTAAAGAAATGTTTGAGTCAGTGCACTGGTATCTGGTTAAAACTTCTTTAACTAGCTTCTGAATGCCCGACTTTTCCAAAGCTTTGCCTTATATATATCCTTTGGCAAGTCCATTCAAGACTATTTGAAGTCTTCAATACGTTTTATTCAAATGGTCCTTAACCATTGCACCTGTAAATTCGTATGCAAAACTTTGACATACTGCTGTTGCCCTGCTCCCTTCCCTCCCCAGGGGACATGATTTGAAAAACCTTGAATCTACATCACCTGACTATACTTCTGTATTAATATGACTAATAATGACTCATTTATTTTTGAGGATATTTTTAAAGGTATTTCCTTTCTGAATTCTCATGGCAAACTTTGATCCTCTGTTGTGGACCTGCACTATCCCCAGCACTGGGGTCATGATTGGAACAAACTTGAATTTAAACTATCTGAAGATACTCCTGATATAATATGACTTATCATGGCTTTGTTTTTCTTGAAATGTTTAATGGCATATCTTATATATTCCATTGTAAAACTACGAACCCCTCTTGTGGCCCTTCCCAACCTCCGGGGATTTTGATATGAACAAACTGGATTCTACAGTATGCAATGAGGCTTTCATAAGTGATTATTTCTTGCCCAGTGGTTCTGAAAAAGAAGATTTTGCCAAATTTTCACGAATTCTTAATTATCTCCCATTGAAAAAGGGCGTATCACTTCCCATGAAAAAGCAAGAATCAACTTCCCCAAAGAATGCTTTGTGGCAAGTGTGGTAAAAATTGGCCCAGTGGTTCTTGAGAAGAAGTCGAAAGTGTGAAAAATTTACAGACAACGGACGACAGACGGACGCCGGACACTCTTTGATCAGAAAATTTTACTTGAGCCTTCGGCTTAGGTGAGCTAAACATGATGTAAATACATATAAAAATATAAAAAAAAAAATACGTAACAAAATTAAATGAATGGTGTCATCGCACTCACCTGTTGATATTTTTCTACTAATATCGAGGAAAACTTCTTACCAGGAATGATGTTCTTACAGTCCAGTTGACGAAATGAGTAGGGCATGTTTTCTCAATGCCATTCTGTGTGTACGAAATCTCCGCATTCGTGCTTACATTCTGTTTGTCTTGTAAGGATTTTGCGTTATGCAGATATACAAAAAAATCACAAATAAGCTGATTTTCAGAATAATTGGAATAGTACACAAATGTTCTGATCAGCTTATAACCACACCCTTTTTGCCTTTGGAATGCTGTCTACAATGAGAAAAACAATGAAAGAAAAAACAAGATGTGTTTGTGAAATACTGATGCCCCCGTATGGTAACATAGCAAAGATTAATAGAAATCCTCACGGTCAAGGTCATTGGTGTCCAATGAAAGGTCTTGCCACAAAAAAATACATACATAAAGTATGGAAGCCCTAGACTTAATCCCTCAGAAGTTACGGCAAAGGTTAAAAAAATTAAAATGTCTTCAACGTTCACTTCAAGGTCAAAAGCCCTGTTATCAATTGAAATGTATTGTTACAAGGATTTAGTATGTAGAGTATGAAAGCACTAGCCCAAACCCTTTAAAAGTAATGATCAAGGTTTGCTTTTTAAAGGTAGGTCTAACTCCAAGGTCAAGGTCCATGGGTCAAAGTTCTTGGTATGCAATGGAGGGTCTTTTCACAAGGATTACATAAGTGAAGTATGAAATCACTTGCCCTTAGCTTTCAAAAGTAAAGACCAAGGTTAAAGTTTTTTCTTAAGTAAGGAGATCTCCAAGTGAAGGTCAATAGGTCAAGGCCATTGGTATCCAATGAAATGTCTTGCTACATAAAATATATATAAAAAGTAGGAAAACCCTAGCCCTAACTGTTAAGAAGTTATATGGCCAAGTTTAAAAATTTAAAATGTAGGTCAAACTCCAACGTCAAGGTCAAGGGTTCAAAGTTCTTGTTATCAATTGAAAGGTCGTAACACAAAGATTAAATGTGTAAAGTGTGAATGTACTAGCCCTAACCCTTTAAAAATTATGGTCAAAGTTTGCTTTTTTAAAAGAAGGTCAAACTCCAAGGACAATGTCAAAGGTCTTGGTCTCCAATTAAGGGTCTTTTCACAAGAATTACAGATGTGAAGTATGAAAGCCCTAGCCCTTACCGTTCAAAAGTTATGGCCATAGTTACAGTTTTTCAAAAGTAATGAAATCTCCAAGGTCAAGTTTGTTGCTATCCAATGAAAGGTTTTTCAACAAAAAATACATATGTGAAGTATAAATGTCTTGATATCTACTGTTCAAAAGATATGACCAAAGTAAAAGTTTGAAATTTTTGTGTAAAAGTGCGTCAAACCAAGGTCAAGAGGTCTAATTTGGTAATACCCAAAGAAAGGTCTTGTCACAAGGAATACACAAGTGAAATATGAAAGTCATAGCTCCACTAAATCAAAAATTATGAGCAAGGCTAAAGTTTTTGTGGACAAACAGACAGACAGGGAGACAGACAGCTAGAAAGACTGACAGACACCTAGACAGTCAGACGGACACGACAAAAACTATATAAACACAAAACTTCGTTTACGGGTGCATAAATATAACATAAAAGCCAATTATGTGAGATATATTTTTTTAAGATTATAAGAACCTGGCATTTTTGTGACCAAAATAAAATAAATATAATAAGAAAATAATTTTAAAAAATATTTAGACAAGCCCTTCTTTTCATACATTTAGATGTCACCTGCGGTCAGTTCACCTTACTTGATAACAAAGTCAATGCATTGCCCAACTTTGATTATTTAGCCAGCTTCCTTTAAAATTTGAAAATAACATTTGAAGTTTATTAGAAATTGCAGTAGAAAAAATGTCCTTAAATATTAGGCAGACTCCGTAGAATTGATTTATTATTAAAGTGGCAATCATAACTTATCAAGCTTATATACAGGTAATTCCTTAAATGCTTTCAATATTTATATTTTTTAAAAAATGGATTAAAGAAAACATTAGCTTTTCCATGTAATAAAGATTTAAAAAGCAAGTGTCAAAATATGAAACAGACACTTTTAAAAAAAATGATGAAGTTTTCTGCAACTCAAATGTAAAGGAATATCTTGTCAAGAGATAGGTTATATTATAATAATTACTATTAAAACAATCAAAATCCTTTTCAATTTTATTAAATATTAGAAGTAAAAAATCTCACACTATCATATCGAGGCGAGAAAGCATAACGGACTTCGTACTCCATATTGCCTACATGACGAAAATCAGACAATGCAACGTCAATTGATATTTTCGCCAGGGGTTTTCACGAAAATTACTAGGTTTTCGTAATAGCCTCTTGAAGGATTGAGAGTTATCCTGAGAGACGCCATGGAGCCAATATAAAGGAAAGATGAATTTGTTGTGTTGAGTGGTCCAATATTCATCGCAACACTTGCACACATATCTGAAAATAATTTCCTACTTATTTAATCTCTGAAAATCATGATCGACATCTACATTCCATAGGTTGATTCAAATTTGCTTAATTTATGACTTACTGACTACAAGAAATTACAGTAAAACATAAAACATAAAAACATAACATATTGTAATTGAGGACTCCAAAGTCAGAAGGTCTGCGCCAAATCCCGGATGGTTTGACACGCCAAAATACAATACGGCGGGAAAATTAACGTTCATAACGTCACATTTCTACTGCGCAAAATTGCAATGCCACGCCAGGCCAATGCTCAATGGTTTTAAATAAATACAATGAAATAAATGGAGAGAGCGAACAGTATCCAAGCTCAAAAGTCCAATCCAATCCAAACAGTACAATGAGGAAAGAAAACACTGACCTCCTAAACATCAGACGTACGATCAGGTCCCATGGAGAAGTGAGCATCCTCCACCCATAGCGACCGGTCACACCCACTGTCTGCTCCTTGTCATGGTCGGAAAATTACAGAAAAAGCCGTAGACAATTCAATTTTTAAATAAAGGTCTAACAATTGTATGTTGTATGAAAAAAATGATAGGTTGTATTTGCTAACGATGTCTTTGTATCGACCATAGAACATACGAAATGATGACTATAAAGGAGACTCTTGACAATCATGTTTTTTCAACTTACCTGACATAGTTCATTTAAAAAAATCATACGTAGAGCATGTTCTTGCGTATCGAATCGACTTAGAAATATAAACCCCATATGCAAGTGATAAGGGTATGTTGCTGCATAAGAAAGGGAAGATGGCGATTGAAAAGTTAAAAATCATCACCATTTATCATCATTAGATTACGATGAAGGATATGAAGATAACGAACAATTTTCAGTATTAAAGTCCATAAACAGCACAAAAAAGGGGCAGAGAAAACACAGACCTAAAATAAAATCAGCGTTTGGACCAGATTCCATGGAGGAGTGACCATCCCCTGCCAACCGGTCACACCCGCTGTGTGCTCCTTGTCATGATCAGGAAATAACGGAAAAATCCGTCGTCAAGTCAGTGTATAAATAATGGATTAACAATTACTATGAAAATCGTCAGCATTTTACTCAATGATAAATTGTATTTGCTCACAAGGTAATTGTATCGACCATGTAACTGACGAATTGATGCTTTTAAACAAGACACTACTGATATTCTTGCTTCATCAACTTTTTTATCAAACATTTACCTCGTTTTGGAAATTGTTTATACATGCTCTTGTGTATCGAATCAACTAAGATATGTTAACTCCGTATGCAGCTGACGAAGGTATATTGCTGCATAAGTTAGGGAAGATGACGATTAAAAAATTGGTCATTAGATTACCACTTACGTCTATTTCAAGTAAAATATCCAAGTATGAAACAAATGTGTCAGACTCTATGGTATCTTTTATATCACCAGGATATATCGTATCAACATTAGAATAGAAGTTAATATTGTTAATTGACAATACGATATAAATTATCTAAATGTCGAGTTTAAGGCCACAGCAAGTGTTTTCTTTTTACGCATAAGATTTTGCATAAATATTGCTCTATATTAATACAAAATAGGTCTCCTAATAACGGAGCGCAATTGGTATCCATGGGATTTCCAATAGACTGTTGAGTGCAAAGCTATCCCATAAGCAGTTGAACAGTGTGTAAGGACTAACCCTTACTAATCCAATAGTGTGCAAGGACTTATCCTTATCAGTCGAATGGTGTACAACGACTTGCCCAAATATCCCAGTTGGGTGCAACCAAAATGTAAATTATGGGCTCTTGAGATATCGTCAAAGGCGCCGAGATTACTATGACGTCGTAAAAAGTTTATTGTTTCTCAGAATTATCCGACTTTGGCTGGTCAGAACATCGCAGTTTAGGGCATCGCGACTAAATAGGAAACGAGCCATCAGACTTTGGCTTCCGTACCAACACTGAACCATCTGACCTTGGTGTGTCACATATATGTTGTTTTTTTAGTGCTCTATATCTATGAATTACCCCTGTGTGAGTCTGCCGTGGTAAAGTTTGCGATGAGTGTTGTTGAGTAGTCAGTAGTGGTCAGACTTTGTGCTGCTATTAAGTTTAGAAAGCCTCCAAGTTCTAAAAATATTAGAAGAACAGCTTTTATATAACACCTGTGATATAAGGAATACCACACATCACAATTTACAATTATATACGAATAAGAATTAAGATGTTGCAAAGATGATCATAATCGCAAATTCTTGCTTCTTGGGCCTATCCGGTAGAGCTCGGAAGTCAAAAGTTTTATACAAAATGGAATCCCTTAATTCCTACATGTATTCATTCAGATGGTGGATAAACAGAATTGAGTGTCCTTTTTAGTAGATTTTAGACATAATATCTTCGTATTTAATGAAGTTAGTTCCAGACTCTATACATAAGAGCTCTCCAATATCCATACTGTTATTTTAATGTGTATGAAAAGGGGGTACTCTGTGGATGCTCTAAGTAACACATATGAGGTTGTTTTCCGCTTGATGGTACGACCCGAGAATTTTAGATTAAGATGGTCCAGTTTAGGTTCATTTTTTTCTTTTGAGTCTATCGTGTGTTGCTTGTTTTTATTTGAGTTAATGAAAATATTGAATAATAATTTGAGTTAACGAACCAAAATTGTTTTGATAATATCATGCTACACAGTTCATGTAAGTACTAGTAATATCTATGAAAACTTCCTTCGTACAATATCTACATACTTCTTGCATGGAACTAAATGATTCGTGGGAAATGAATAACTAGATGCATGTTGCCTAAGTCATCAACCGGTACGGAAATCAATAAGCTCGTTATGTATAAATTATCCAACGGTTTCAACCTTCGTTAATGTTCCTGCCATACCTCAAAATCTAGACAGTGATTCCTTATATTTACATTAACAAAAAAATGTAAATATGAAAAAAGGCTACCAGTGCTTTATAGTAGTTTTTCCCCCTAAGCCTGCTTTCCCCCGGAAATCGTACTCTGGAGAAGGATTTCCCCCTGAGGGGAAATCTTACACTCGAGCCAAATTTCCCCCTTTTTCGTTCCCAGAGTAGCATTTCACCCTTGTTATAATCAATATAAACTAATGCCGCAACATTTTTGCAAAAAAAAAAAAAAGATCAATTTAGCGACAAACTGATTTTTAAAAAGGTAGATGAGTGTTTTTTCAACATATTTTGTAAGAATTTTCTAAACATATATATCATGGAATCTCAACCAAAATATATAGATTTCAAAAGATATGTGAATATACTAGAAAATGATTAAACAAACAATTAATGGATGTATGGATTGTGTAAACTATTAAAATACATTCTTGAAAATAAGAAAAAATAATACACTTTTTTTTAATTTTATTAAGAAACATGTTGAACTGTAAAGTTGCAAATTGATTTTTTTGCCAAATTATTTCATTTTGGCTTGTTCATACATTAAGTTGTTTCACTAGAGAAATATAACTTCTAACTTGCGAAAGGCATCTAATTTAGACAACATTTCTGAATTTTGATAGGAAAAGTTTGTTTGTTATTTATCCTTATGGATTGTCAAACATGTATTTGACATGTTCTATTTCCATTGTACAATACATGTTAAACAAGTATTCTTAGAGTATTGTGTTAGCAATACTTGTCCCCTACCGGCAAATGAAATCTAGTTAAATCTATTTAAAAATATTCCGTAAAAATTCAATGAAGAGGAACGAAGTTCAAATTTGTAATTCACTCACTAAAAAATTGCTCAATATCTCAAATCATGTAGAAAAAAATTTTAAAAATCTGTTAAAAATTGAAAAGGTCGTAATTCCTTAAAAAATTGAAGCAAAGCAAAACGCAAACTTTAACTCATCAAGTTTTACTCCTATACCAAAAATCATCTCAATGTCATCAAGCATTTCGAAAAATTGCGGAAAACCATTTGGGACACACAGACAGACAGAGGGACAGCAAGATATAAAGACGGACGGGCTGACAGAGGCAGAGGAAATTAATAGTCTTCTACAGTTTCATCAATCTAAGAGTTTGGCGATTAAGCCAAGAAAAATCGGATTGATGTTCATTTTCGAATACGCATGTCAGCACATCTGTTTACCATTTTGTAGAAGGGTTCGTATACTCGCTACACTAACATCTAACAACATCCCATAGAAGGTCAAGTCAAACGTCAAATTCGGAACATCTCTAGATTTATTCGCTTCAACAATATACGATGATTTTGCCGGCGACGATTTGATTGGTTGATAGAATTTGACATTTAACGTGACCCTCTATGCTACTCTAGAGCCACTTTTCTTGTTGGAAATTACTCTCTAGAGTCAGTTTTCCGGGGGTAATGAATTTACGGGGGAAAGCCTACTTTATGAGACCGGAAAATAGATATGAAATTATGCATGAGGTATTTCATATTCATTTCCATAGTCCATTGATATGGTAAAATAAGTTCTCTCCCCGAAGAGAGATTAACAATGCCGTTTTAGCATTTTATAAATAAATATTTAATCACAGATTGACATTTGAGAAGGTTTATTTATGTCCCTAGCCATTATATTTTCAGTGTTTGTGTCAGAACGTGAAACATTTTAATCTTGTATCAGAAAACGATGAAATGTCTTAATTCCGTAGAACCGTTATATTTATTCATTATTTATTCATTCAACTCTATTTTCAAGAGCAATGAAATTGATTCCCGAGATATTTTACCATTCTTTGAAAAACATTTAACGTCAGTGTAGTGTATTGTTTAAAACAATAGTCTAAAGTTATCAGATGTGAACTATTCCTTTAAATTAACGAATTTGTTTTTTGAAAAAATTAAAAAGGTCGGACTCGCATTGCCTAGTTTAAAAAAACAATATGTGTTTGTGAAACACATATCCCTAGTTTGACATTTTTAGGCGAAGGTTGAAGTTTCTCAATTGCAAGTCAAACTCCAGCGCAGAGTCAAGGGATAAAAAATAAGTTACCCAAAGAAAGCGCTTGCCTCCATGAATATTCTTGTAAAATATGATAGCCCAAGCACTAATTTTTTAAAAAGTTTTTTTTTAAATGTGGGTCAAACTCCAAAGTAACGGTCAAGAGTCCAATAAAAGGTTCCATACCAATTGCCTTGTCATTAGAAATACACATTTTAAAAACCTAGTACCAACTGATCAAAACTTAATGCCAAGGTAAAATTTTTTTTAAAGTACGTGACACTCCATGGTCACGATCAAAACGTCAATCATGCTGGTATCCAAAAGAAGGGTTGCCACATGGGATACACATGTGATATATGATGCCCCAAATACTAACTGTACTAAAATTATATCTAAGGTGAAAGTTTCCCTAAACGTTGGTCAATCTCGAAGGTGAATGTCAAACGTTTAAAAATATTTATATCCATGGAAAGACTTTAAAATTATGAATATACTTGTGAAAAATGAAAGCCCTAGAACCAACTGTCTAATAGTTATGATAAGGTTAAATTTGGATAAATTCTTGCAAACTTGGGTCAAACTCCAAGGTCAAGAGGTCATATATATATTGGTAGTCATAGAAAGGTCTTGTCACATGAAATACACATTTGAAATATGAGATCAATAAATTCAAACATTCAAAAGTTATCGGTAATGTTTAAGTTTTGCGGACATACAGATAAACAGACAGACAGACAGACACACGGCCTCGCCCAACACGGATACGAAGCCGAGAAAAAAACTTGAACTTAACACGAACTTAACGAAAAACATTTTATAAACAGACATTAACTTGTTTTAAATGCAACATAATTATATTTCCTGATAATAATTGTGAATAACCATGGCGGCTAAGAAACGGTTTGCGTTGGTACTTGTCTTATCACTTGTTTTGATATTTTATAACTTTGCCTCGCCCAACACGGATTTCTATTTCACACCCTGTATTACTCCTTGTTAGGTCCTTAATTGACTGTGAAACTTAAATTATTTGTTATTAATTTTTTTTATCTTGACGTGTAAAACCGCTCATACTTAGATGCCCGTTATCAAAGTTCATTATGACTTCATGATAAAACATCAGTAATTTCATTCGGGAAAATGGATTTTTTGTACACATATTTCAGTTATATAATGCAATTTAAAATATATAGTTAAGGAAATAAAATTATGTTGCATTTAATCTAGTTTATGTCTGTTTATAGAATGTTTTTCTTCATGTTCACGTTCTTTTTCTGTAGTATTCCTTCGGAATTTGCAGAAAGAAAAAAAGTAAAATTGGGGGGTTTATTTTTGGCACATTTTCTAATGTTTATACGCTTAAGGCGGTACACTGGTATTTTCGGTTCTCTAACACCTACAGCAAATTAGTGAACCAAATTACCAGTGTACCACCATAAGCAAACACGTAGAAACTGTGCCGAAAATAAAACCCGTAGCAAAAAAAAAAGAAATGGAAAAGTATCACTCAATCTAAGTTAAATTTATATTTAACAAATGCTAATAAATCGAAAATTATTATTCTTATTTGTTTATTATTCAATTGAAATAAAAAAAAAAAAACAGGGGTTAAAATGCTGAAAACTCAACAAATCAACATTTTCAAAAATCATGATCATTTTATATTATATTTCATTGCAGCACACTTTAACTTTTCAAGAATGAGAAATAATATTCATATTCAAGTTTACATTATTATGAAACAGTAATCACATTACATGGATATATATGATAATCAAATACATCCTAAACGTTAGGTAAAAAAATATCCATATATTTTTTTACCCACTTCCTTGAATTTGATTTTTATAATGTTTGATTCCTATTTCATCATTACTTTTTTTTAACAATCCAAATTTTCTTTTCCTTTGTACACGATATATTTTTAAGAGGAAATACAAATCTAAATTAACTTACCATAGTTAAGAAGAAGTTGGCAACGGAAGAGATAGATTGATAGCCACCGCATTTTTAATGTCCCAAGAGTTTCAAGGAATACATGTACTTCGTTTGTGAAAGAAACTTGCAAAATGAATCGAAAGCACAGTTTTCTAAATCAATCAACCAACCAACTGCAAGAAATTCGATTCTTGTCATTACTTTGAATAGTTCAAATATTAATGCTCTTAGATACTTTGGCATTTTATGCTTCCATTTTGAGTTTGAATTTTCGGTTTGTTTAACATGTTATTCATCAGAAGAATGATAAAGACTTAAATCTATACTTATGGACTTTAAGAAAAAATCATACGATGTTTTCTTAAAAAAACTGTTTGAAAAAAATTTTTATTTTTCATTAAAATTTGATCCAGAACCTCAATAATTTTAGGAAAAGAAATGTGGCCTCATGTTTCGTTTATGATCTAAAAAATAGACAATACAGCAATAGTATAATATATATGTAAAAAAATAATATATTCAAGATTGAAGGATTATTTTATTTCTCACTATAACTAATAACACTATCCATAAACAACTTTCGACGAACAAAATAATCTATATTAGTTGTCTTAAAAAAGATGTGAATCTTTTTTAGATGCATAGGAACGAAATGGGGCAGGTACTGTAAGTGCATCCGAACTAAACCAACTGATAAACACACAAGCAAAACTGATGAATAGTCTTACATAACGACGGGCAGACAAACTAAATGTAAGCAGGACTTTATGCTATATCTGTACTAAATAACTACAATTGAGTAGTGTAAATCGTATCAAAATTGATTAATACAAAAAATTGAGAACTGCCAATTGTCTTTTTTTGTTAAAAATTAAATTAAGTCAACTAATTTGAAAATAAATTAAAATTTTAGAATTAAAAAAAAAAGGAATTGAAAATAATTTTAATTTCAAAAGGAGATTTCAGAAAAACGCAAAGTGTTAGAGGACAATAGAGGTCTAATAAGAATAAACACACCGTGAGGGTTTACTTGTTTATTACATCTTAGTTGAGTGAGCCCTTAAAATGAAAATATAAATTTAAATACATGTACATCTGTTAAGCAAAGTATTATATACAAGCATAAACAAACATACATCACTTGAAATATAATGCTATGACATAATGTGCAACATTATGCTTTCATTCATGATAAAATTTTACAGTAATGCACTCTGAATAAAGGACTACTATTTATTTCAGCTGAACAGATTTATAGGGCTTTACAGATAAAACAAAAATAGAAGTAAAAATAGATTTCGAGATTAAGGTTTATAGATAAAAAATATTTGTCAAACATACTTAATAACCATACCTTCATTAACAAATTCTAAATAATAAGAATACTTAACATATATAATACATGTTCTTACCAAAGACAATGTATCTGGCGACCTTTAAATGTACTGAATCAGAATTACGTGTAAATTACATCAAATGAAAACCAGCACCTGTTGCTATCAAAATAATTAAAGCTAAACAGGTTTAAGTGCTTCCTACACATTTATAAGTAATTTTTTAACATTCAGATTATTTAACACTAATGAGACTTAAAGCAATCAAAATTATTAACTTATTCTAATCTTAAATTCTAGATAAACTTTATATTTACTTTAAATGTTAAATGCTATTAGGACCAAGGTCTGGGTAGACACTACCAAACTGGACAAAACACAACACAACCACATGGTCAGGTAAACATTGAAATCACATTAAATCATAATCAAAAGCATTCAATATTTTGATAAATATCAGTAACGTGACATTACTACATTAATGTTAATTAATACCGAATTTTATGACAGAGGAATTATTAATAAAACATATAATAGTGAGTTACATGTATGCTGCTCTTAATAAAAAGAAAAGTAAGGGTTATGCCAGGTGCCAGATTAACAATCTATCTGAAACTCTGACCGGAGTAATTTTGTATCTTTTTTTCATCGTTTATTTTTTTATTTTCTCTAACATTTTCTTTAACAGTAGCTGAAGGGAGTAGATGACCCTTAAGTCATGTCAAACAACTCTAAAACTGAAAAAAACAACCCTTCATCATACAGAAAACGAGTGAAATCGGGAGTGGATCCGATGGCACGTACCTCAATAAATTTGTGATTCATCATTTGACGGAAGCCGACGGAGGAATGTGCATCTGTCTGGCTGCCAATACAATGGGCTTTAGTTGGCGGAGTGCACATCTTATTGTTCAATCGAGTAAGTATCAATCTAATATAGAAAGTACAAATCAAGTGTATTCTGTAAGTACAAATCTAATCTAATCTAGTGCGTACAAACCTTATTGTTCACTCTAGTAAAGTATGAAGCTTTTGAGGTCTACTTAATATGAAAATCCAGCTGAATTTTAGAATATGAATTCTGAGCTGTTTTCATATTTAACAAATTTGTTGACACCGTCCTTTATTCTATTTTTAGATCACCCTCAGAACCAATATGCCTACACGATTGACCGCAGTAACCTGAATATTCATCTGGTTGTCGGTATGTATCAGGTGGAATCCTTCTCGTTGTTAGTATCATCGCGTTCCTTTTCTTCCAGCGCAAACGACGGGCGCAGTACCACCAGGGGTCAGTTGTGAATTGTGCTCATTTCAAAAGAGTTCCTAAGCAGGACGCTGAGCCCTATCTGGGGGTCCCTCACACAAATGATGTCAAAACAAACATTCATGTGAACCCCATGCATGGACCACAACACAAAAACTTGTATGCGGGTGTGCCTAGCCCCCATCTTATAGTGTCGAGTCGTGAGATGCTATCTAAAAATAGTCAGAGTATAGACTTTTACACAGACATTTCGTCCGTTTCACAGAGTCATCATAATCCGCATCATCACATGCAGCAGTATTCCTATAACGGACCCTGAACACACAGTCAGGAGTTCTAAAAATACCCCACTTCCTTCGTTTGACTACAAACAACTCACAGGATCTTGTATTCCGTGTGGAACAATGAGTCATTCTGATTGGTCCCGAAAAGCATTGCAGTCATGAAAGTATACCTGTGATTGGATAAAACATTTCATTGATACAAAGAAACCTGTGATACAAACTTCAAGTCACTGACCAACTGGTGCTGTTACTCAGGTTTGTTTGGGTGGAAATAATTGGTATGACAATGGGCACAAATTGTGCTACGTGAAAACTACCCAACTGATATGTGAAATTGACACAAAAAACCTATATGACACAATACTATGCTTGATACTGCATTCTGTGATAAAAGATAGGGCCATTAAAGGAGAAAGTTTACCAAAGATTCCCACTGTCTTGGTGTAGACCTGAGAAAAATAAAACACTTCAGACATTGCATTTTTCTATGAAGCAAGTGAATAACTTCAATGAGATGTCCAATCAAGCATTGTGCCAGTCTGAGAGTAAAAGGAGAGTGAATGGAGACTTTATAAGTCGTGTTTGTTGTATGTATGGATAATTGATCAACTGTCTAATTGCTGTATGTGTCGATACTTGTTAGGCTGTATAGATAATATTTTGTATATATGGATACTTTGGATACTTGATTGTCAGTTTTGCAAGAGGTATAAATGGATACTTGAGAGTCAGTTCAAATGTTGTATATGTGTGTTCTGGAATGTGCAAGGTATTACATGTTATGTTAAAGAATAACTGTCCATAAATAAGGATTTTTACCTGTAGGAGTGCAATCTGTATTCATAATGATCTTGTGAGTGTATGGGAAATTGTTTCTTTGTAGATATTCTACAAACTGATCGTAGTTAAATTAATCTTGTAATGAGACAGAACTGCGACCCTACACACAATATATACAGTACACAGGTGTTTTAAGTGCTCTTTTTATACACCTCACAAATCCACACACCTGTAATTCTACTCTTCGTTTACAATTTACAAGCCTTCTATATTACATGTTTGCATCTAGACAAATCTTGTTTCTTTGTATAATGCCTGGAATTTCTGTTTTTAAATAACAAGGGATTTTTGTTTCTTTAGAATGGGATCATTCGGGGAAATTTTGACCTGAAGCCGTGATATATGATGACATTTCATCTGTACCTTGATACCTGTTTTACCATTATCAATTGTTCCTTTTGAGTTTAGATTTTACAAGAAAATCCCAGCTGACTTAAGACGTCATGTTTTATTAAAATTCTTGTCAGTTATGAGGGCTGTAAATTTTGTTTTGGACAAATTAACTCTGGACATGGTTTTTATTGAGAAATGATTTTTGCAGCTTTCTATTTTTATGTTTTAAAAATACAAAGGAATTGTTCAATTTATTTCAATTTCATACTGTACAACACCTTGTTTTAATTATGAATTCTTAAATCATCAAATAAGGGCACCAATACTACATATTTTTCATAACTTTCAAAATGATGTAAACAGAATTGGTAATTTTTGGCAATCCTTCCTTTTCCAAAATGTATGTAAAATTTAAATAATTTAATTACTCAAACTAAAATGAAAATATGTGTACTTCTGGATATAAAATAATCTACTTTGAAAAAAAGGCAGCAAAAATATCCTCAGTTCTGTCATAAGAAAAATTTCTCCAAAATGTAGCAACATGTTGCTGGTGGCTTTAAATTTTTATCAAATTATTTGAGATTTTAAATATTTCCCATTTCTTTAAGCCCAGGAAGGGTAAAGTATGTTTTTTTTACAACATTATTTTGTTTTGATAATTGTTTTGTTAATGTATTACATTTCTGTTAAAGCATTATGTGTGGAAAGAGGGACAACTCTTGCAAAATGTTTCTTTTTTTTTGAACAGGGTAAAAATTGTTCATAATATGTTGTACACAAGTGTACCAGTAAACTATATTAAAAAATATAAATTATTGAAGTATTTTTTTCTTTGTTTATTTAAATTTTCAGATACAGTATAATTTGAATAGTATTTGTGATAATTATTCCTGGCCGGTATTAAGATAATTTTTGAAACGTACAAGTAAAATTATTTTTATCAAATGTTCTTTGCTTTTAGTAATAATATCGTTTATGAGACATGTGTCAATTTTTTGTGCAAAGGACACTGAAACACCACCATGATTGAGTGTGCAAACATTAAACAAACTTTGTACAATACCAGCTAGTACATTTTGTCAATTCAATAATTATGACATTGAAACAAGTTACAGTTACCATTTACTCAGTACTTTACAGTTGGAGACTGCCTCTATTAGATTGTTATTTCTCAGAGTGTTTGCAATGAAACTCAAAATATCTAAAGTAATTTTGGGGTCAACAAGTTAAAACTATAATTGTACATAATCATAATCAAATTTTCTGAAATAGGTACAAGTTATTAATTATGACACCTACTAGCAGATACTGTGTCATCCACAAGAAGTGTAAAAGCCCTAACATTGATATATCTGCATTTCCTATATTCACTGACACTAAACTCCCTCCAACAAGATCAAATTCAAACTTAACCTCCTATCTGAAATTACCCTTAATTGATAATTAAATTTACCAATAAAACACTTTCACTTCTCCTGAAAGTTCCAGACGTAATATTTCTTTCCATTTCCTTGCCATTTTTTGCCAAGAAAATCTGAACTTGCAAATTGACGCCCGGGAAATTGAAATGAACGCCTCTAAGATGCCTCTTCTACTGAGGCGTAACTTTTGGAAAACTTCGTCTCTGCCTCAAGCTTGAGATATTTTTGTTTCATCAACTTGCTTGTCAATAATTTACCTCGTTTTAGAAACTGTTCATACGTAGCTAGAGCATGCTCAGAAGTGTCAGACTCTGGAATCCTTTATCACAAGCTCATGAGGATACATTGTATTGACGTATGAATGGAAATTACCTTTGTTAATTGACAATGCATCGTCGATAGATATAAATGATGAGTTGAAGGCCGCAGCAAGTGTTCTCTTCTTTTCATCTTAAGATTTTGCATAAATTGTGCTTCATATGAATATAAAAATAAGTCTGCTAATAACGGAGCGCAATTAGTACCCATGGAATTTCCAATTGATTGTTGAAATACCTGGTCTCCAAAAACCACATAGATATTGTCAATAAGAAACTCAAACATCTTCTTGATGTCAACTTCAGAGTACATGTACTTATGTGTGCAATCAGAGTCTGTTTTAACAAAATAAATTTGCAATTGGCCAATGAAGAGGTAAGTAAATCTTCGAGTTCCATTTTTCTTGAAGAAGCAGATGTCAATGATATAAAAAAGCCTGGATTTTATTTTGTCGTGGGGTATTGTTGTGTATAAAGTTGAAAAGTCATAAGTTGTTAAGCTGTTGATTTTTGTAAAGTCTTGAGATTTCAAATTATACAAGAGTTCTTAAGAATTTTTTATCATCCACATCTGATTCACACTACTTCTCGAACATATAGTTGCACAGTACTCTTGAAGTTTTTTCTTTAACTACTGTGACTGTCAATATCTTAGTGAGGAGTAACGAAAGAGGCTTGGTTGAACATAATTTTTTCATGTTTCATTTTTCATATCTGGCCCATTGTCTGGTGTAATTTTCAACAGAATCCATAAAGAAATTGTATAATCCCTAGACAATTTTTATCGTCCAAAGACACGGGTTTTGTGTCCGTTTGCCCCCCCCCCCCCCCCTCCCCCCCATCCGAATTTTTTTTTTAAAGAAAACCTGATTTGGACTATTTGAACAATTGTAAACGATTGTCCAACAATTAGCATGAAAAAAGTCATACTTGTATACTTCTAGCTGAAGTGGTTCTTGTATTGACCAGAGAACTTGCAAAATGATGCCTCCAAACGACAATGTTGATATTTTTGTTTCATCAATTTCTTTGTCAATAGATGGCTTCCATTTAAAAAGAGAATATTTTTGTGAATCAAATCAACCGAGAGACATAAACACCATATGTAGATGATGAGGGTGTATTGTTATATATGTAGATGATGAGGGTGTATTGTTATTTATGTAGATGATGAGGGTGTATTGTTATATATGTAGATAATAAGGGTATATTGTTATATATGTAGATGATGAGGGTGTATTGTTATATATGTAGATAATGAGGGTGTGTTGTTATATTTGTAGATGATGAGGGTGTATTGTTATATTTGTAGATGATGAGAGTGTATTGTTATATTTGTAGATGATGAGGGTGTATTGTTATATATGTAGATGATGAGGGTGTATTGTTATATATGTAGGAGATAAGGTTGTATTGTTATATATGTAGGTGATGAGGGTGTATTGTTATGTATGTAGGTGATGAGGGTGTATTGTTATATATGTAGAAGATGAGAGTGTATTGTTATATATGTAGGTTATGAGGGTGTATTGTTATATATGTAGGTGATGAGGGTGTATTGTTATATATGTAGACGATGAGGGTGTATTGTTATATATGTAGATGATGAGAGTGTATTGTTATATTTGTAGGTGTTGAGGGTGTATTGTTATATATGTAGACGATGAGGGTGTTTTGTTATATATGTAGATGATGAGAGTGTATTGTTATATATGTAGGAGATGAGGGTGTATTGTTATATATGTAGAAGATGAGGGTGTATTGTTATATATGTAGGTGTTGAGGGTGTATTATTATATATGTAGATGATGAGGGTGTATTGTTATATATGTAGGTGATGAGGGTGTATTGTTATATATGTAGAAGATGTATTGTTATATATGTAGAAGATGAGGGTGTATTGTTATAAATGTAGGTGTTGAGGGTTTATTGTTATATATGTAGATGATGAAGGTGTATTGTTATTTATGTAGATGATGAGGGTGTATTGTTATATATGTAGTGATGAAGGTGTATTGATATATATGTAGATGATGAGGGTGTATTGTTATATATGTAGATGATGAGGGTGTATTGTTATATATGTAGATGATGAGGGTGTATTGTTATGTATGTAGGTGATGAGGGTGTATTGTTATATATGTAGAAGATAAGAGTGTATTGTTATATATGTAGGTTATGAGGGTGTATTGTTATATATGTAGGTGATGAGGGTGTATTGTTATATATGTAGACGATGAGGGTGTATTGTTATATATGTAGAAGATGAGGGTGTATTGTTATATTTGTAGACGATGAGGGTGTATTGTTATATATGTAGAAGATGAGGGTGTATTGTTAAATTTGTAGGTGTTGAGGGTGTATTGTTATATATGTAAATGATGAGGGTGTATTGTTTTATATATGTAGAAGATGAGGGTGTATTGTTATATATATAGGTGATGAGGGTGTATTGTTATATATGTAAATGATGAGGGTGTATTGTTATATATGTAGACGATGAGGGTGTATTGTTATATTTGTAGATGTTGAGGGTGTATTGTTGTATATATGTAGGTTATGAGGATGTATTGTTATATATGTAGGAGATGAGAGTGTATTGTTATAAATGTAGGTGATGAGGGTGTATTGTTATATATGTAGAAGATGAGGGTGTATTAGTATATATGTAGGTGATGAGGGTGTATTTTTATATATGTAGATGATGAGAGTGTATTGTTATATATGTAAGTGATGAGGGTGTATTGGTATATATGTAGGTGATGAGGATGTTTTGTTATATATGTATATGATAAGGGTGTACTTTTACATATGTAGTTGATAAGGGTGTATTGTTATATATGTACATGATGAGTGTGTATTTTTATATATGTAGGTGATGGAGTGTATTGTTATATATGTAGGTGATGAGGATGTATTGTTATATATTTAGATGATGAGGGTGTATTGTTATATATGTAGGTGTTGTGTATTGTTATATATGTAGGTGATGAGGGTGTATTGTTATATATGTAGGTGATGAGGGTTTATTGTTATATATGTAGATGATGAGGGTGTATTGTTATATATGTAGGTGATGAGGGTGTATTGTTATATATGTAGATGATGAGGGTGTTTTGTTATATATGTAGATATATTGTTATATATGTAGATGATGAGGGTGTATTGTTATAAATGTAGATGATGAGGGTGTATTGTTATATATGTAGGTGATGAGGGTGTATTGTTATATATGTAGATGATGAGGGTGTATTGTTATATATGTAGATGATGAGGGTGTATTGTTATATATGTAGGAGATGAGGGTGTATTACATGTGTTGGTGATGAGGGTGTATTGTTATATATGTAGATGATGAGGGTGTATTGTTATATATGTAGATGATGAGGGTGTATTGTTATATATGTAGGTGATGAGGGTGTATTGTTATATATGTAGATGATGGGGGTGTATTGTTATATATGTAGATGATGATGATGAGAGTGTATTGTTATATATGTAGATGATGAGGGTGTTTTGTTACATATGTTGATGATGAGGGTGTCTTGTTATATATGTAGGTGATGAGGGTGTATTGTTATATATGTAGATGATGAGGGTGTATTGTTATATATGTAGATGATGAGGGTGTATTGTTATATATGTAGGTGATGAGGGTGTATTGTTATATATGTAGCTGATGAGGGTGTATTGTTATATATATAGGTGACGAGGGTGTATTGTTATATATGTAGATGATGGGGGTGTATTGTTATATATTTACGTGATGAGGGTGTATTGTTATCTATGTAGATGATAAGGGTGTATTGTTATATATATAGGAGATGAGAATGTATTGTTATATGTAGATGATAAGGATGTATTGTTATTTATGTAAGTGATGAGGGTGTATTGTTATATGTAGATGATGAGAGTGTATTGTTATATATGTAGATGATGAGGGTGTATTGTTATATATGTAGATGATGAGGGTGTATTGTTATATATGTAGATGATGAGGTTGTATTGTTATATATGTAGATGATGAGGGTTTATTGTTATATATGTAGATGATGAGGGTGTATTGTTATATATGTAGATGATGAGGGTGTATTGTTTTATATGTAGATGATGAGGTTGTATTGTTATATATGTAGGTGATGAGGGTGTATTGTTATATATGTAGGTGATGAGGGTGTATTGTTATATATGTAGATGATGAGGGTGTTTTGTTATATATGTAGATGATGAGGGTGTTTTGTTTTATATGTAGATGATGAGGGTGTATTGTTATTTATGTAGATGATGAGGGTGTATTGTTATATATGTAGATAATATGTAGATGAAGAGGATGTATTGTTATATATGTAGGTGATGAGGGTGTATGTGTTATATATGTAGATGATGAGGGTGTTTTGTTATATATGTAGGTGATGAGGGTGTATTGTTATTATGTAGATGATGAGAGTGTATTGTTATATATGTAGTGATGAGGGTGTTTTGTTATATATGTAGGCGATGTTTGTGTATTGTTATATATGTAGATGATGAGGGTGTATTGTTATATATGTAGATGATGAGGGTGTATTGTTATATATGTATATATGTGATGGTGTATTGTTATATATGTAGGTGATGAGGGTGTATTGTTATATATGTAGGAGATGAGGGTGTATTGTTATATATGTAGGTGATGAGAGTGTATTGTTATATATGTAGATGATGAGGGTGTATTGTTATATATGTAGATGATGAGGGTGTATTGTTATATATGTAGGTGATGAGGTTGTATTGTTATATATGTAGATGATGAGGGTGTATTGTTATATATGTAGATGATGAGGGTGTATTGTTATATATGTAGATAATGAGGGTGTATTGTTATATATTTAAATGATGTGGGTGTATTGTTATATATGTAGATGGTGAGGATGTATAGTTATATATGAGAAGATAAGGGTGTATTATATATGTAGATGACGGCGGTGTATTTTTATATATGTAGGTGATGAGGGTGTATTGTGATATATGTAGGTGATGATGCATGGCGTATTTTTACATATGTAGATGATGAGCGTTTTTTTTTCATATATGTAGGTGATGAGGGTGTATTGATGTATATGTAGATGATGAGGGTGTTGTATGGAACAAATACGATTATTTATTTCAATTAAAACTAATCTCATTTACATGAAAGTACATTTTCAATGTTGTATCAATTCTATTTGTTTGTACTAGGATTGATCCAAAACATCTTTCTGAAATTTTATCGTGGTTTGGTGAAAGTGAAAAATGGAGTTCATGGCGAGCTACAAAATCGCCAAACAACTTGATACAGATTTGTGAAGAGGGCGTAAACACGGCACCTTAAACTTCAAAAGGTGGGATCAGAAGTATTGTAAGAGTAAATATCCCCTCCCAATCAGTCATATCCGCAGTGGACCCTATGTATTGGTCAGGTCGACGGAACAATCCGAAGTGATATTCAGTTCAGATTTAAAATGATTTAATGATTTTTAATTGCATCCCTGAATGCTATGAACTTTTTCATTTTTATATCACATGTGTACCAGTCAAAATGGATCTAGAAAATTCAACAGAATTTTAAATAACTTAAAAATAAGCTAGAAGTTATTAGAAATCAAACCATGCATGACCGTAGGGTCCAGGTGAGGATCCAGGGTTCCCTCCTCATATAGTTGTCGATATATTAGGTATCAGTAAAAATCATTGGAGTCGGTGCTATCATGGAAAGAGGAGCGCTTCGTTGTGTTTTTTTTAGAGAATGCTTTTTGATCGCAAAATAAATGTTTAATGAATGAAAAAAAAATTGATGAATTAGACACTGCACCATACAGAAATACAGAATAAATAACTGTTTTTAAAGGAATTCTTGACCTTTTTATGTACTATGTTGCCAAGTCTGCTCCACTAATAAGGCACATTTACTAGTATTATCTTGATTTGATATATTCAAAACCACAAAGAAAGATTGACATTGTCTGTGAAAATTTTCGAACAGCCCTGGTTTAAATGCAGATAACAAAAAGTAAAACAGAAGCATATAAAACAAATTCAGGGATTTAATTATACACACGGATACATAAATAAAGTGTTACATTGAAATATTTTAATTTTCAATTACGAATAATTAAAACTCATTCATGAATCGTTAATTAATGAAAAAAAGGAAAATGTGACACAAATGCATGTAAAGACATCGTGCATTTACCGTTTCAATTTCGGTTAATAAAAAAATCGATCGATATATTAATACTGGAAAGATAATTGACACCAAAATAATCGGGAAAGTAGAATTGCAAAAATGATTCTGCAACGTTGATTCAAAATTTCTTACAATGCAATTACACTGAACAACATAAACAAACATGTTTTGTAAATATTTATGTACATTGAAATACTATTTACAGCTAACACAAATCTCTCATTCACATTTCTAACCAATAAAATACATGTATATCAAAAATTATCAAAATCAGTGTAAATAGCTTGGATGCGAAATATGCATTGAAGTTTACCATCTATATCAAATAACATAAGTTCACATAGGACATTATTTTAGCCAAATTACGTCATAGTAAATAATTCTCAGTCTTATAAACTAAGACACAGTAATGTTCACTCTATACCATATAGTATGAAATAAAACATTTAAACCCTGTCAAAATTACCCTTCAGTGTTTTACAAGAGGGTTATGGTAATATGTAGGCTCATAGTAATTAAGACTATATACTAGAAGTATATGGAGTTCTTTAAATTTTTTCTACACAGAGTATCGTCTTACATGTTTCTTCACCTCCTTAATCACTCTTGTGCAATTAAACACTCTTTTCCACCCCTCTCTCTTTCTATACTTATTCAGCAGTTGTCGTGTCCTCTCTAGAACAGACACCCCCTTTCTGTGTAACACAGAACCATACTCTCTATACCTCACCCTGACATTGACATCCACCCCCGACTCCAGGAGGATCCGCACCCTATCCAATAAACTGTCGTTACAAATATTCTCATCAATCAGTGTAAACAGCAGGGGTCTCTCATCATACTCATTATTAGAATCATCATACAGCTGTATCCACTGATTGACATCTAGACCCACACGTAACAGATGCTCTAAATCCTTACAGTCACTTTCTATGATTTCCTAATACAATTCTCCAAAGTCCTCCATACGCCACACTCGTCTCCGTGTCACCACCACATCAACCTTACTGTCAGCCATCACGTCACTGTGTCTTATGTTTACCAAACAATCAAACAAATGTAACCTCAGTCTGTCTAACTGACTTGAACCATTCTCTGTCCTAAATAATTGTTTTACAGAATCAATTCTATTTTTAATTAATGCAATATAGAATGCTGATATACCGTTCTTATTTCTGATAGTTGAGTCTGCGCCATAAAAATCAAACATTCGTACTATAACAGGAATAAAGATTTTATGTATGTTTATAAAAGCTATATAGAGAGGAGTGTTTCCTTCCTTATCCTGCATATTAATATAACTACCTGCGTTTAGCAGCTTTTTAGCGATATTCATATACCCTTTTTTACACGCTATTGTCAGTGGTGTACCATACTCTCCATGAAGATTGACATCAGCCCCTGTCTTCAGCAGCTCCATTGCAATACTAGTATGTCCTTTATTACATGCTGCTTTCAGTGGGGTATTATGTTTTCCTAGATTTACGTCAGCCCCTGCACTTAGCAACTCTCTAACAATACTCAAATGTCCCTCATCACATGCTGCTGTCAGTGGTGTGTTATCTCTCCTTTGTAGATTGACATCAGCCCCTGCCTTTAGCAGCTCTATCACAATACTTGTATGTCCTTTTTTACATGCTAGTGACAGCGGTGTATTATAATCATACTTTCTATGTAGATTGACATCAGCCCCTACGTTCAACAACTCCTTCACAATATTCATATGTCCATGATCACAAGCTTTCATCAATGGTGTTTCATGCTTACCTTGAAGATTTACGTCAGCTCCTGCACTTAGCAGCTCCTTTATTATACGTATACACCCAACCTTAGTTGCTGCTATGAGTGGTGTTGAATATTCACCCTGAGGATTAACATCAGCTCCTGCCCTAAGCAGAGTTTTAACTCCATTCATAGATCCACCCCAACATACTACTGTTAGTGGTGTATAAGATTCATTTACATATCCGAACACCTTCCCTCCACCCACTTTCAGTGATTTATAATAATGACCATGTAAATTAACATCAACCCCTGCTTTTACAATCTCTTCCACCACATCTTCATGCCCACCCCAACATGCCGCTATCAGTGATGTACAAGATTGAATTTGTAGATTGACATCAGCTCCTGCCTTTAAGAGATCCATCACAATACTCATATGTCCACCATAACAAGCTGCTATCAGTGGTGTTTCACGTGTACTATGTAAATTAACATCAGCCCCTGCACCTAACAACTCCGTCACAAAACTCTCATTCCCACATTTACATGCGCTATCAGAGGTGTAACATGCGTATTTTGTGGATTAACATTGGCCCCTGCCCTAAGCAGCTCTTTAACTATAATAATATTTTCACCTTTAATTGCTGCTGTTAAAGGTGAATCTATTTCACTGTGTACATTGACATAAGCACCCGCCTCCTGGAGTTTCTTTATTACATTTATATTTCCACCATCACATGCTGCTGTCAGTAGTGTATTATACTTACTTCGTTGATTAACATCAGCCCCTGCCTCTAGCAACTCTTTTACTATATCAAAGTGTCCACCCTTACATGCGACTGTTAATGGTGTTTCGTTATCTATACCAACTCCATGCTTTCCTTGTAAATTGACATCAGCTCTAGCCTCGAGCAGCTCCTTCACTATACTTATATATCCACCCTTACATGCTGCTGTCAGTGGTGTATCACACTCACCTTGTTGATTGATATCAGCTCCGGCTTCTATAAGCACCTTCACTAAACTCATATGTCCACCCTTACATGCTGCTGTCAGTGGTGTATGAAACATACCTTGTTGATTGGTATCAGCTCCGGCTTCTATTAGCTCCTTCACTACACTCAGATGTCCACCCTTACACGCTGCTGTCAGTGGTGTAAAAACAAAACTTTTTTTTGGATTGACATCAGCTCCGGCTTCTATAAGCACCTTCACTAAACTCATATGTCCACCATTACATGCTGCTATCAGTGGTGTATCAAACCTACCTTGTAGATTGACATCAGCTCCGGCTTCCATAACCTCCTTCACTATACTTGTATATCCACGCTTACATGCTGCTGTCAGTGGTGTATCATACCTACCTTGTGGATTGACATCAGCTCCAGCTTCTATTAGCTCCTTCACTACACTCAGATGTCCACCCTCACATGCTGCTTTCAGTGGTGTATCAACCCAACCTTTAGGATTGACATCAGCCCCTGCCTCTACCAGCTCCTTCACTACACTCAAATGTCCATCCTTACACGCGGCTGTAAGTGCTTTGTCTCCCAATACATATTTAAACTCTAAATCTGGAAAGGTCGTACAAATTGTATTCCTTTTGAGATATTTAATTAATGTTTTCACAGTTTTTAAATCTCCATCGTAACAACTCAGCAAAAGTAAGCGCTGGTGTTCAGATATTGATCCATCAATGTCTAAGTTTCTAAATGAATCTAAATTTTCGACTGGATCATATGCTGCAATTCTATTTCCCTCTTCTTTTGTTGGAATAAGTAAAGCAAGTTTGAAAGAATTAAAAAAAAGTTCAGTCTGTGTTTCTTTATGTGACTCAGTTTGCTCTAAAATATATTGTAAAACCTGATTGTGTCTGTAACAAACCACCCAACTGATAACCCTAACACTGTATGTTTTTTCTCTATAATTTCCCTCCTTAATCCTCTCCTTCACCAACACACTCTGTCTGTGCCATTCCCTGCTCCTCTCATCCCTCTTCTCAATCTCCTCTCTCACACGCTTTCCTTTACTCACTACCTTAGACACATCTTTCTGTTCTGACAGAAATAAAGACTTCAATTCTGAGTAAGGCTTGTCTTTAACACATCAATAAAAGCCTGACATACCTGAGGATGTTTTAAAATATCATTCATAAAAACATCATACAGTTCCATATTTTCTATATCTTTGTACAAACGCTCTGCTAACATTGAGTACTGATCCTCCCCTATCCTTATACAGAGATCAAATGCCTCCATTCTGTTACTGTTTTCAGCACTCAAAACCTCGTTTCCCCCTTTTTGTGGGCTTTCACAAGCAATGTTTTTTTCATTTTTACTCTCACTATTGATTGGGCCATTTTCACCTGCTTGTTCATTTTCATTCTTTAATTTAAGCATTTCATTTTTTTGAAGCTTCACAGAGTTAGCAATATAATTGCTACTCATGAATTTGAACATTAGCTTTGGGAACTGAGAACCAAAATGATAAGCAATGATTTCAAACATAGAGTCATGAATAAATGTGTATTCAGTACCACATTGTTTTGTGTATGTCCCCTCCATTACTGATAATGCATCAACAAATTCAAAAACGTCGGTATAACTCTTAACTTTACAGATTTCTAATGCGTTTGATTTCATTTCACAGAAAATTTTATTTTCTGTGTCTTTTAAAATTTCGTTTGATAATTTGTTGTCATTTAACAGGCATAAGACCAACGTAGCATACTGTAATCTATTTTGTTTTTGCATTTTATCTAATTCTTTTAAAATGCATTCTAGCTGGACAGGTAAAGAACCTTTCAATGTTGTTCCTAAATTTCTCCTCTCTTGAGTAAAGTTTACACAATAGAGGAAACATAGCCGAGGCTTCTCCCAGTAAGGTAGGGGACAATAAATCTTTATTCAAGCCGTGCTTCTGAAGAATAGCTTTTTTGTCATCACCAGTCAATGCATTTTCTGAACTACACAGTTTGATTATATTTTCCTCATTTGTGAAAAACGATTCGTAACATTCATTAAACACTGCTTCCCTGCATGACATTAGTACTTTTGTACGTCTTGAGGGATCTGAAACAATTTTTTCATAGTCTACTAATGTCTCTAACTTTTGTTTTTGAAGACCCAACACACCTACCACATCATCGATAACAAATACCTGATGATTATTTGAGTCAATATAATTTTCTATCTTCCTTATATCAATTATAGGTATAATTTCGTAACCTTCCCCCTGGAGTATCAGGGATATGTGATGAATCGTTGCCGATTTTCCGGACCCTGGGACTCCAACAAATGTCATATAAGGTTGTCCCCTGACTTTGTTCAGCATTTCCTGGAAAGTGTGAGTTTCACTGTAAACGTCATCTTCTACGCTCCATTGCATTAATTGTACTTCGTGAAGATCTAAAATATATTATACCAAGCTTTAACGATACCCGTGAATTAAAAGCAAACAGATACCTCCAAGTGAACATTTTCGATTGGGTGAACTTCTACAGCTGTCAGCGACTATGGATAAAGAAGTGTGGAAACCATGTTGTGCTAAAATGAAAAAAACTAATACAAAGAAATGATATAATTTGATCAAACAAAATGGTTATTAGATACATTCGATTCTGCATTTTTTAATGGTTCAAAACAAAAAAAAAAAAAGAATATCACGTATAAATCTGCACAAAATACGGAATGCCAAAACCAGAATGCTACTAAATAAATGAATATAAATATATTCTTTACATATGAACCAGAGTATTTCTGACCCCTAATATCAAATAAGAGGCCCATGGGCCACATCGCTCACCTGAGTAACTTGGGTGATGCATTTCTTTACCAGATTAACTTTAGAATCTACACTACCCCAGGAATCGACCAGGATGCTTCCACATAAGTTTCAGCTTTTCTGGCCCAGTGGTTCTTGAGAAGAAAATTTTTAAAAATTGTTTCTATATATTTCTATGTAAAACATGGGATTCCCTATTGTGGCCCCGACCTAACCGCGGGTGTCATGATTTTAACAATTTATTATTAAAACTACCCAAGAATGCTTCCACATATGTTTCAGCTTTCCTGGCCCAGTGGTTCTTGAGAAGAAGGGTTTTAAAGATTTGTTCTATTGCATTCCCTTTGTGGCCCTGACCTACCCCCATAATTTAACAATTTAATATCTACACTACCCAAAGCTTCCACATAGGTTTCAACTTTCTTTGCCTAGTGGCTCTTGAGAAGAAATTTTTTAAAGATTTGTTCTATATATTTCTATGTAAAACTGAATAAAATTTAGTAGTGAAAGATGGCCCCTATTTTACCCAGGTTTATGATTTTAACAATTTTTATTTACACAACCCAAGGATGCTTCCACATAAGTTTCAGCTTTCCTGGCCCACTTTAAAAAAACACCACCTACCTGAATTTATATTTCTTAATGGTGTTCATCGAAATGCTTGGTTGTGCCCTCAAACTGGAATAGATTTTAGGGGCCTGGAATTCCTAGACCACTTTTATTTTATTAGCCCAACTATATTTCTAAGAAGACAAGAATTATGGTATGTAGGTTCCATCAAAATATTTTATGTAGTTCATATTAAAAAAACCAAAGGGATAATTGACAATATCCCATTCAGGGTGTAAAAATAGCAGTTTAAATTTCTTTATATACATTGTACTAGACATAAAATATTTTTGCGCATAATGCGCTCCATACTGAAGATCCGTAGTAACTATTTTGTAAATGTTCACCCAACCGAAAATGTCCAGTAGACGAAAAGGTCAATGTACATTCATGGTCATTTCGGAATTTTACAGTTTACAGAGAGAGAGAGAGAGAGAGAGAGAGAGAGAGAGAGAGAGAGAGAGAGTGAGAGAGAGAGGGAGAGAGAGAATGTTGTTCTCTAAACAATACAATGTTCAAGTGATATTATTTATTTTATACTAGTATTCAAATATTTATATCAATTGGTGAAAATACATTCTGAAATTCTTTTAATATGAAAGTATGAATCTGGTAAGCAGGGTTTAATTTTTTTCTTCAGCTTCTTGGTCTTACTAGAGTGTTGTATTTTAAAAGCTGTTTTATTATGTATGATTGATGTATTTTATATAACATTATTATGTATTCGTAAAATAGCTTGATATATTTTTATAACATTATTATGTAGTCATATAATAGCTTTATAGAGTTACTATTTTTGTTGAAGTACTCGACTTAAAATATATATCATCTTAATATGTTATCTATTTCAAATTCGTATGATATACAATATTCTCGATTTTTGTAATTTTGAATATATTGCATGAAATTGATTGCATATCAAAATAGTCATGTTCAATCTAGATATTGAAGTACTCCAATTTCTTAATTAAATTTTTGACAAAAAAGATTTGTTCTGTTGTTTCAATATCATTCCGACACAAGTACTGATGACAATAGGAATTTGGTGATTTGAAGGAAAATTTAGCTTATAAATAACAATTATGGAATCTAGTTTGCGAAATAAAAAAAGGTTTATATAAGTCAAATAAAAAAAAGATGTAAGTTTTTTTTTATTCTCAAATGTTCAATTTTTGCTGAATCATTTTAAACTTTGAATCTTTATTAATGACCAATATTTCAGGTTTTTTACGAAAAAATTAATCCTTACAGCATCAACTTTAAAGATTGGGTGGACTTAACTGGAAAGAAGAAGTGCCCGTAAAGAATCTGGGGGGATTAGGCGAGTCATATGCCCACACGGATTTTGTCGCTCTTTGAGCTTATCGGAAATTTCATAGTCGTACGATTTACCCAAACATTTAAACTTTGTACAGCACTGTCCAAATGACACTATCAATATTTTTAAACCTAGCATTTATCGTTAGAGTATCTTTTAACATGTGATGCTTTTCATACTGAGTGTTACTAGTAATTGTTACAGATATGTTTATAGTTAATTATTATTTAATGATACCTTTAGAACTGTTGTTGGTCCTAATAAAAAAAGTTAAGTTATCCATGATTCTTCATACATATTCTATACATACATTTTATTCATGAAAATATATACAAAAGTCAAGAAGTACAGCATGCTTTGTTTTTTATTCTGAATCCTCATCATTGTCCGTCTGGTATTGTCCAGCATCATCGACACTTGATATGTATCTTTCCTTCTTGATTTTGTTGCACTGGTGACGATAAAAACCCAAATACCAGATTACACTGCAGATGTGTGCGCAACACCCTAATGTTCTTGCACCACTCTTGCACTGACAGTACCAAGATGTCACAGCTGATGTAGTGAACCTAATCCAAGGTTATAGAGAGTGCTGCTAGTGTGCCTGGACTGTATTCGGCAGTGAATCAAGTCAGATTCTACATTTGACACATCAATTGTGTATTGGCCAGTTTCATCAATATGTTCTCTTATGTAAGAATTCGCTTGCCGAATTTGATATGTTCCAAAAGTCAGCTGTCTTACATCTTCCTCGGAGAGATCTGGGAAGTTAATCACAGCATCGCGTGCGTCGATACTTTTCCAGAGTTTTGAATTTGTCCGGTATTTGTAAAAGGAATTCTTAGTAACAAGATCTTTCAAGACATTTTCATTGTTCTTTGCCATCATTAACATTTTAAAACCATTATTAATATCATTTTCGTCATTTGTTTTCAAAGGTGGTCTGTATTTGTTAATTAAAGAACACACGATTCTTACAAAGTCACCGATTGAAGGAATGTTTGAGTTGCTGACAACATTATCCAAAAATCGCCATTTTTTAAGTCTGCCATTGGCAGCCTCAACAACCCATCGAATTTTCGTCACCATTCTTGATGTATTTGCTTCCATTGTGCTGTGTTGTTTGCAAGATTTGGGTAGAAAGACTGGCATCTGTGCTTTGAATCCGCATTCATTAAGAAAATCTATCGAATCGCGGAATCCCCTATCTACAACAAGCACATCGTTTTCGGTAAGGAAATCCATTATATTGCCTTTATTTGTATTCATCGCAGTCTTTAATATGGAAGCGTCATTGTTTCGACCATTTGCTAAATAGGGTCCAAAGACCTCCACAATGTAACCGCTGGTTGTTGTTATAAGGAACGGCTTTACCAAAGGTCTCCCTTTGTGAACAGAATAGGACAGTCGTTGGAACTTGTACGACGCACTTTTTTGTATATATACATAAGTGCCATCTAGCACTAAGATGACAGTGTTTGAAATAGGATCCGAGAAAAGTTGTTTTGAAATATCTGTAGTGTGATTTTCTATTATACTTTCTCTGGTTATATGGTCAAAACCAAGGTTATGTGGCACAAAATCTTTAACGATTGATAATCGAGCACTTGCAATGATTTCGGCCACATGTTGCCTACATCGGAATCCACAAAGAGTGGCCAGCAATCCATTAGACAAGCCAGATTTTAATTTGAATAGAAGGACGCCAACTGCATTTCTTATTGTTCAAATTTTTGTATTTCTAAAAGATGTTACATTTGCCACCAAGTCATCGAAATTCGCTTTGGAAATGCCTAATAATGAAATATAATCATCATTATCAGAAAGTTTATCAAAACTAAGACTACTACTATCATATGACTTCAGAGCTTTGAAACGTACTCATTCCAGTAAATCATTTAATTCTCTTGATGATAAAACTGAATGTTGTCTCTTATATTTTGTAACGTCAACATTCACATTTTGATTTAATCGTTTCCCAGTTAAATGCTTTCTGAAGCATTTGCATCCAACTGGTATAAGTAGTTGGAAATGTACGAAAGCGTCTGTCCTTGCCTCACTTGGTACTACCACAATACCCTTTCTTTCATAACAAAATACGCATTTGTTATGCGATTTTCCTGCAGACACAAAAGGAAGTGATATATTAGATCTACTTGTAGAGTTATCTTTAGACGCACACTGTACTGTAGACTTTACATTTACTCTGCATTTGGTACATATTTGACTGTTTTCATCTAGCTGATATCCGTGTTCTGTCAAAAATGTTCTCAGGGATTGGGTGATGGGTCGCTTTACTTTTCCTTTTAATTGTCTTTTGCAAACAGAACAGCCATATCGTGCTGGTCTACCCATGATTGTTTACATATCATTCGTGTATTGTAGTCTCGTACTGAATGCATTAAAATGTTATATATCTTGAAAACTTGTTTATTATAGGAAACATATATTTATTGACTGTTAATAAATTCATTATTTCATTTAATTGTTTTTATTTGGTAAAAAAAAAATATTTTTTATCTAAATTACAACCTGAACTTTAAAAAATATGATAGCGTGATTCGAACACTCGCGACAAAACCTCTATGCTTTATAACCGCCGCTTTGACGACTGAGCCACTCCGTCACACATACATATTCCTTTAATTATCAAACAGTTCCATATGTATAGCAAACACACAATTGGACTTGGACTTTCTGAGAATATGTTCCGAAATTTAAGAAGGAAAACTAACTTTTTTATAAAGAGTGGGTCTTCGTACCATTTTTTTGAAAATGGTGAGAGATACATCCTTCCATACCCTTTCAATATTTGTTTACAAAAAAAATGGTACGAAGACCCACTCTATATAAAAAACACAGTTTTAACATTCAATTTCTATCATTTTTACGGTTTTTAAAGCGTGTTACCATTTTGGTGGATTAATTACAATCAATTTTTAAGTCATTTGATTCAGGTTTTATCTTTATTGTATGTATATGGTTATAAATAACACCCATATTTAACAAAAAGTAGAATTTGTTAGAATCTTTTAATTGATATTTTACCTGCCCTTGCATAGGCACATGACTCGCCTAATCCCCCCAGATTCTTTAAGTTTTATAAAATATCTTTTTCATCATATGAACCCTCGATATCTTAACTGTATATTAATGGTACGGATGCGAATTTAAAACGCTCTTTTTGAGGTAAACTAGATAAATAACGAAGGCATGGTGCCTGAAAAATTCTTGAATATCAATAGATACTAGTAATCAGGGTCACGCGTTTTACATTGTCTGAATACAAAATCAGCAGCTGTCGGCTATTGTTAAGAAAACTGTAGTGTTGTATATTGAAGAAAAAATGTTATATTAAAAGGAGAAGAGCGACAAAAGTGTGATCATACTTTATTTAACAACAACATGTTCAAAACAAACTTCTCGCTTCCAGTGAAATGTTTTCGATTGACCTGTTAAATATTACAATTAGTCACGTGATGTCCACTCGTGAAAACAGTTACATTGTATTCTTCAACCTGACCTCAATCTAAATCATGTCTATGGGCGTATTTTGTTGACCTTTTCAGAATATTGCAAATTAAATATTGTTTTAATTTTGCGAGTCATCACATTTTAAAAAATTATTTCATATTGACATCGCTGTAATAGGCTAAACACGTATTCGAATTTGTGGAAAGGGAGAGGGATAGAGAGAGAAAGAGATGTTAACAATGACACCGATCGATAGCCCCGCCTCCTATAAAACTTTATAAACAGAAAACCTATAAATAAATCTGACAACCATATATGCTCTGTAGATTTGTACGTACCCTTAACATTTCGAGGAATGACATGTTGTAGTTTCTTAATTTCATCTGAAAAAAATTTTTTTTTTATTTTTCTTTTTATTCTTTATTAACTAGAGTTTGCAACTGGAACATACAACAAGGTGTCATTAACAAAAGCTTAAAATTGTAAAAGTCAACAGAGTTATACCTAAAATATCAGATGCCAGTATTTTATTCAAATGATCAAACTTATCTGAAACAACAGAAAACCCATAAATTTATAAATGATATTTTTCTTTGTTAAATCTACAGTTATGTATGGTATGCAGATTTGTACGTACCCTTAACATTTGGAAGGACATCTTGCTGTAGTTTCTTAATTTCCTC